CATCTGCAAACATCTGCAAAGCTCTTTTTTTTGCCAGGTAAAATAACATTCACAGGTTCCAGGGATTAGATTGCATATTTCTTGGGGGATGCAGCATTATTCAGCCTACCCCATTAATCTACCAAGGCTATAACTGTTCAAACTATAGAACTAATGCCGTAAGCCAGAAAAATAGAGGCTTTTACAATAACCAAATAAGTCTAGCATAGAGGAATGGTCAGTAAAAACTTCTGGCTAGGAGCTAAATCTGAAAATATAATAAACTTGCCCAGTTGTTTTTCTCACAAATCTGTTTAGTTTTAATCTCTAGCTCTCTAAGGTATTTATCATATATTGTAATATATAGCTTTTATCAAACATGGTTATTTTACACGTTTTATGATTTACTTTTGCAATTACAAGATTTTCTCATCCTTTGAGAAAGAACAATGTATTGTAAGTAACAGAACCTTTTGTTGCACCCAATTTTAACATCTATACGTAGATGGTTCTTATACTTCGCAGTATTTCCAGAACTATTGTCAATTATCTAAGAAAATCTCATTCCTTTTATGCTTTCAGTAAAGTAGAATCTAGGAAATAAACCAGTTTGACATATGCATTTTGACAGACCTCATGATCATATCTGTAACTCAAAGGTGCTCTTTAGGAGATAGAAAGCTAAATAAAGCATAAAACACAGAGGGATGTATAGTACATAAATGTGAAATATCTAAGGGATTACAGAGTTGTGAAGTACTTAAGAGTTAGGACATTACTACTGACATTACAGAAATAAATTTTAAAAAAAATTATAAGGCAATAATGTTAACAATTGTATTCCACAATTTAGATAACTTAGATGAAACAGACAAATTACAAGAAAGACACAAACTACCAAAACTGACTCAAGAAGAAAGAGAAAATATAAATAGACCTATAATAAGTGAAATTGGATTAGGAATTTTTAAAACATCACACGGAGAAAAGCCCTAGCCCAGATGGCTTTACTGATGAATTCTACAAAACATTTAAAGAAGAATTAATATCAATTCTTTAAACTGTTCCAAAATATAGAAGAAGAGGGGTACTTCCTAGCCCATTCTTTGAGACCAGTGCTACCCTGATACCGAAACCAGAAAAAGACATCAAGAAAAGAAAACTATAGACCAATATTGCAATGGATATGGACATAAAAATCCTCCAGAAAATACTAGCAAACCAAATCCAGTAACATATAAAAAATATTATACACAACAAAGTGGAATTTTTCCAGTGATGTAAGATTGGTTAAACATACAAAAATCTCACTAATGTAATACACCATAACAATAGAATAAAGCATATGATCATTTCATTACATGCAAAAAAAGCATTTGGCAAAATCCAACAGCTCTTTATGATGGAAACACTCAGCAAACTAATAACGGATGAGAACAACCTCAACTTGATGAAGAGCATCTGTGGAAATGCCATAGCTATCCAATGGTGAAAGACAGAGAGCTTTCTCCCTAGATCAGAAACAAGAGAAGAATGCCCATTTTCACCACTACTATTCAACATTATATGGGATGTTATAGACAAGGCAATTAGGAAAAAAAAAAAAATGGCATCATTATTGGAAATTAAGAAGTAAAATTATCTCTATTCACAGATGACGTGATCTTGTATATAGGAAATCTTTGGGAATACACACGCAACTGTTAGAACTAATAAACAAGTTTAACAAGGTCTCAGTAGTCAAGGTCAATGTACAAAATAAGTTGGATTTTTATACTATCAATGAACAATATAAAAATGAAATTAAGAAAACTATTCCATATACAATAGCATCAAGAATAATAAAATACTTAGGAATGAATTTAATGAAAGAAGTGCAAAACTCATACTAGGAAAACTCTAAAACTCTGTTGAAAGAACTTAAAGAATATCTAAAGAAGTAGAAAGACCTAAGATGGCAATATTCTTCAAACTGATGTACAAATTCAATGCAATTCCTATGAATATCTCAGTTTCTTGTTTGCAGAAATCAACAAGCTGACCATAAAATTCATATGGAAATGCAAGGGACCCTGAATAGCCAAAACAATCTTGAAAAAAGGAACAAGATTGGAGGACACATACTTCCCAAATTCAAAATTTACTGTAAAGCTACAATACACAAGATAATGTGGGACCAGCATAAAGAAAGACATATAGATCAATGGAATAGAATTAAGAGTTCAGAAGTTAACCGGCATGTTTATGGCCAATTGATTTTCAACAAAGGTTAAAATCTTGTCTTTCAACAAGACAATTCAATAGGAAAAAAAGAGTCTTTTCAAAAAAATGGTGCTGTGACAACTGAATACCCACATGTAAAGGAATGAAGCTGGATCCCCCTCTCATATGACACACAAAAATTAACTCAAAATGGAAAAGAGATCTAAATGTAAAAGCTAAAAGAATAAAACTTTTAGAAGAAATAACAGGAGTAAATCTTCATGACATTAAAATAGGCAATGATTTCTCAAATATAACATCAAAAGCACAAGCAACAAAAGAAAAAATAGACAAATGGGACTTCATCAAAATTTAAAACTTTTGTGCTTCAAAGGATAACATAAAGAAAGGTAACTACAACCCAGAAAATGGGAGAAAATATTTGTAAACCATATGTCTGACAAGGGATTTGTATAGATTATGTGAAGAACTCTTACAACTCATAATAAAAAGATAAATAATCCAATTAAAAATGGGCAAATGATTTGAATAAACATTTCTTCAAAGAAGATATATAAATGGACTTATATAAGTACAAGAAAATATGCTCAACTTCATTAGCCATTAGGGAAATGGAAATCAAAACCACAATGAGATATTACTTCCTTCTAGGATTTGCACAGTTGCTGGCCTAGAATCCTTTACTTGCCAGCATAAGCCAATTTTATCTATCTTAAGACGACTATAATGCTATCACCCTAAGAAGCCAGTACTACTTTATACATAACTGGACAACACTTTTTCTGAATGCAGATCTCTCTATCTGTAAGTATGTGTGATACAAGTGACAAGTACCCCTGTTGTTTTGTCCTCCTCCAGCCTGCTTTTATTCTACAAATTATTAGGCACTAAATTCTCCTCCTCATACTTTTTGAGTAAAAGTTGGAGGGCCCTCTTTTACCGTTAAGTGTCTGAAATTGCAGGAAATACACCATTTCACTGAGCTCTAATTTGCCAAAAGCCAATTTCCATAACGGTTTTTTCTCTGGCCTTTCCTTAAGGAGAGTAGCCCCAACTCTTTGCCCCACTTCCCACAAGCTTTAGGTGCAGAGAAATCATGGAAAACCAAATAGAACTTTCTTAAGAAGAGCTATAAAACATAATATATGGATTAAAAAACATGCAAATTTGTCTAACTGATCATTCAGGAAATTGTCAAGTCAATGAACTGGATTTTGTGGATTAGATTTTGGAAAATGGACCTACACTCCAACTTACAGAGTGTGTTCGGAACAGTGTTTAGGATTTGGGTGGGGAACACTAGTCAGCACACTGGACAGAAATGTTCCAGGAAACAAAGTAGAGACAAGGTTGTGAGCTTCCCTACTCAGAATGCATTTACATATTGGAAATAAGGACCGAGGATTTGGCCAACTTCTTTTCTACAGTGCTGGTGGTGGGGGAAGGGGAGGAGATTACCGGAGGAGCACAATGACCATCCAGGATGGAAACAGTTAGCACCTCTCTTATATAGCTAGGAAACATACATTGCAGGATAGATTAAATTGAATTAGATGGTGTTAAGAACTGTGAAAGTGCTGAGATTTTACTCTACTTGCAAGTTAGAAAACCCAAATCTTGTATAATGGGCTGCAGGCAAGTCTTGCTGATTTGCCCTGGAAAGAAATATTGTTTTTAAAGTGGACAGTAAACAAACATGTCCTCTGCTCCTGAGGGAGATACTATCTCTATTATCCAAGGCACTTCACTATACAAACATCTGTGAACAGATAATCCAGAACAAAAGCCAGTGGTGCCTTTGCTCACAATACATGCAGAAATGTGAAAGACCCATGGAGAATTCTCCCAACAGATAAGACTTCAGTTTAATATTCAGTTAAATATTAAATAATACTTAATATTTAATATTTACTGTCATCTAGCATTCTGGTGCATGGACCTGTGCACAATTTGTTTGACCCCTGGGACAGAGATCTACTAATATTAGTGGGAATCAGATGAAAACTTTGAAGTCCTCTTTGTTTTGGAGGCAGAGAGCCCTAAGAGACAAAGGCTTAACTTAATTCCTAGCTCCTAGTTTCTGAGCCTGCTCTTAACCTCTCGGATTCTCTGCTTTCTTCACTCTCCTGGCTTTACACCTGACTTTCATTCTGTTTCTTTCAGTCTTTGATTAATCTCGTGATTAAACAACAATGAAAACCATTGGTATTATTATATTATCAACCTGATTCTTTTGTTGCATCTGGCTCACCATAGCGTTCCGTACTGAACCCCTTGATGGTATACAGTTTGTTTTATGTGCTGAAAATTCAATGTTGGGGCCAGCCCCGTGGCTTAGCAGTTAAGTGTGGGCACTCCACTACTGGCGGCCCGGGTTCGGATCCCGGGCGTGCTCCGACACACTGCTTCTCTGGCCCTGCTGAGGCCGCATCCCACATACAGCAACTAGAAGGATGTGCAACTATGACATACAACTATCTACTGAGGCTTTGGGGGAAAAAAGGAGGATTGGCAATAGATGTTAGCTCAGAGCCGGTCTTCCTCAGCAATAAGAGGAGGATTAGCATGGGTGTTAGCTCAGGGCTGAGCTTCCTCACAAAAAAAAAAAAGAAAAGAAAATTCAGCTGTTGCCCATAAGTACTTGTTTCAGAAGACAATTTTTCAAGGTTTTTCATTCACAAAATAAGAGGAAAAAAAGATCCTCTATGTTCTGAACAGTTAATATAAGCTAGTAGTGGAGTAATAGTATTACTCTTTGAAAATCCTATTTGCAAATTCTTTACCTTGAGAGAAAAGGAGAGAAGAACAAGTATTAAATGTGCTTATCAATAGACTTTCAATACTTTCCACACATTCAAAAACATGAATGACATATGGAGCACTCTCCAACAATATTCACTCATTTCTGTACCATCTTGGCTTTTGCAGAAATTTCCCATGAGTACACCACTGCATTAGCCAATCTTATTGATTTAACTGACAGACACTGGGACCAAATCTGTTCAATTTTTCTTATTCAGCATGTTAGTAAGGCTACTATCAACAAGACTCCAAGCAGCAGCATTGACCTCAAACCTGTCCCTAAGTGACCCAGACCCAGCCGGCTGAATAAATCCCATAAACCATCAGGGTCTACTTTATAAAAGTAAAGTGTCTTTCTCCTTAAGTTTGTGTCTGAACCTTTCTACTTGTCTGAAAAGGGCTGGAACCTTTTGGCCACCTAGGAAGAATGTTAGTACTAGCTGTGACAATGAAGTGGACTTCAGGCTGACCAGTGAGAGCATTGAAGATACCTGCTCAAGTATAAACATATTTGCTGAAAAAAGATCAATATTATCTACAGCCGTCAATTCAGTCATATCAACATTATCACATCAAGGAGAAAGCTCTAAGATAGGGCAAAAAATAATGAAGGTCATTTTGAGGGAGGGGATGAGGAAAGATCCATAATGAAGCTCCCGTTGTCTATAGGTGTAGTATACAAGCACTTGAACGAGTGGGAATGCAGGAAGAAGGGACATAAAAAAGGGTTAGACAGAATGAAATCAACTGAACAAGAGGTGAAACTAAAACAGAAAGATTATTTACATTCTTTTCTGATGAAAGCCTTAGGTAGAAGTGGGAAAAATAACAATGTTATTGAGTATTGAGTCACTGTCCTAAGGCTTCTACATTTGTTATTTTGTTTAACTCACAATAACCCACTGAAGAAAGCAATAGCATTAACCCAATTTTACAGAGGAAGCCAATATTGGGAGAGGTTTAAATGAGTTACTGAGATGACACAACTGATAAGCTGCTAAACCAAGATTCTAACCCAACCAGTTTTATTTCAGAGCCCAAGCTCTGAGCAGCTGGAGATATGTTAACAAAATCAATAGATCTTGGCAGGGTTTTAGTATAGTGCCTCAAAATGGAAAAATAGGCCAAAATATTTATAAGATTTTAGAGCTTGGGCTGGATAATTTTACAGTTTTTCTTACAAAATAAGGAACTGATTGTGATTAGGCAGTTTATGGCATCAGACTTTTCAACAATGAGGCAAGGATCTTGAAGTATCTTGATGAATACGCTGTTAGTCTAAATAAATACACTATGTGTTTTCGTTGGACTACAGGTTTATCGTTCAAGATCAAGTATTTCCTGAAGCAAGAAACTAAGTTAATTTGTTTGTTCTCTGTATTCCTTAACATAAGGGAGAGGAAATATGCCATTTCCCAGTACTGTTTAAAATGGAGTCATAACAGTTGTGGTTTCATTTCTCATTATGCATATCTAAATGAAATAGGTTTGAAAAAAGCAGATTAAGAGGAGTTTCCATAAAACCTCGGGATAAGTATCTTTTTGTTTTAAGAATTAAAATTCCTGAATATCACAGTTATTTACACTAACCTAAATCTTTTAAAATCGCATAACACGTTTATGCTTGGTTGCTAATAACTATGTCTTTGGGGCTGATGCTGCTTTGATGCATGTAATTTCCATGTCAGACAAGGAGACTTTGCTTTAATCTGCTTTGAGTAGAAAAGGACAGAAGGATTCCATGGTCTCTGTGCAAACTAATGCAGCATGCTCGTGAACTTTTATTTGAGGCACAGCTGGGTTTGATTTTCTGTCCCTGCTTCTGGGTATGTGATCTGGAAAATTTATTTAACTTCTTTAGACTTTTGTTTCCTCATTGTTAAAATGAGGATAATAATATTATCTACATCATTGGGTTGCAGTAAGAATAAATGTGATAACGCACGCAAAACCTACATTGGCCCATAGTGAAACCCAATTTATGTTAACTAAATATTAAGTAACAGTATTAATATTATTGCTATTGTTATTATTATTCACTTATTGTTCATTTGGGGACTGACAAAGAAGAGATAGAGAAAGGAAACACATATGGTGAAAGGGTCAAATTTGAGAACCTGGTGCTATTCTCATAACCAAATGAATCATAATGCACATTCCTTATTTTGACTAGTATGTCAAACTCCTTCAATCCATAATTTGAAAGCTTTTATGCAACTCTGCAATGATATTGTATACTTTTGGGTCTTTGCATCTATATAGCTATATATAATATATACGTACTTTAAAATTTACATTTAAAAAATAAAATTCAGTAAGCCAATAACATTTAAAAGACTTGCTAGAATCCAATTATTCCTTCCACATCCAAGATATTAAACTCATTATTATAAGGCTTGATCCACTTGTAATACTGCTAGTGAAGTTCAAAATTCTATCTTCCAGCCAAATTCTTCCTGATGAGACGCTGAAGTTGATGGAAGTCAATGGAAGTTGGATATGAGTAAATGATGTCGGTCTTTGGACTCAGATGAGATTTCTTCTATTTCCTCTCCATCCCAGGAAGTTTCTTTTCTACTTGCATCTTAAGATAGAGTGCTGAATACTGATGAGGCAAGCCCTCTCTAACCTCAATGATTAATGTGTGGACAGCTCACTTGGATTTTAAACACAGAGTTTGCATTTCCATGGGGCCACTTAATCTGTCAAAACCAATAACAGTTTCCTTTCCACAGACAGAACAAGCCAGGTCCTGACCATTTGCCTTATTGTGATGTAACTTGTGTATTTTTAGTACCACTCCAACTCCTTTTTACGAAGAGTGTGTTTTGAAGTTGTTGACAAAGAGAAAAGGGACAGAACTGAATATCATTGAAGAAGTACAGGGAACAACAGTAAAGGGAGTTATTACCATACCCTGAGAGGAAAATTCAGGCTGTTTGTTGTCTATTTTAGTTTCCTTCAGTATATACAGAAAGGCATATACACACACTCTTACCAATATTGTGAAATTTTTCTCTTTGTTTGATAGGAAATCTCTGAGATTTTCTACGTAATTCATATTTTTTACAGAGAAATACAATTACAAGTCTTCGAATGAGCCTTGGTTGTTGAAAATAGTCAAGAGATAGAAAGTCATGGAAAAATTAAATTGCATTTGTTTTCTGCAAGTAAGGTGAGCAGGTATATTGATGTTTGGGCGATGGATGGGGAATAAGCAGAGAGAGAAAATATGTACAAATATGCTCACCTCAAATGTGGAATTTTTCTTTCCCTCTTTCTCTTATCCTCTGGGTCCCCAAAGTAACGCAGAAGCCTACAGAGCACCCACACACATACCCTCCAGAACGCTAAAGAATATTTCTTCCAGCCGTTACCCATTACACCTCAAATGTGCTCTTTCACCAGACTATGAGTTTCTCAACCCAGGAATCCTTTGGATTTACCTTGACATTTATATCAAGTAACACCTTGTTGATTCATTGGGTTTTTTTTTTTTATTTTGTTTTGCCTTTAATTCACAACTAAAAAGGAATATTTCCCCCTCCTCTCCCTGAAAAAAAAAAATTAAATATAGCTTTATGAATGAAGAAGTTCCATTATTATAAAAGTTGTGTCTTCCAAGGTCTTGTCAACTAAAATAGTACCACTTCTATCCTAGGCTTGCTGGCATAGATTAGCGATTCTTGGTGGTGGTACATGGACCAACACTGTCAGCATCACCTAGAGACTTGTTAGAAATAGAAATTCTCACCCAAGATCTACTAAATCAGAAACTATGGGGATGAGCCTAGTAATCTGTTTTAACAAGACTTCCAGGTGATTCTGATGCATGCTAATGTTTGAGAACCCTTCCTGATGATGGATCTGACACCTAAAACTGAGTGGATGTTTGGATAAAGAAGAAACACATGCATGTTAAGAGAATATGATACAAGCAACAGAAACCACACTCAGAAAGGCTTAAATAACAAGAACAAAAGAGATCCATTGACTGATTAAAATGTGGCATATCTGAAAGTTGGTTAATCTGTTGGCTCAACAATACTAAAGACCCAATTTCCCTCTATTTCTCCTCTCTGCCACTTATCTTTATCTTGTTCCTTGCCTTCAGGCAATTAAAAACTATAACCTAAGGTCAAGAGATGCAGATAATTTACTCCTTGAGAGTAATAGAGGGAAAAATAATGTTAATGGCTGTTGTCTCTAGCTAATGAGACTATGGATAATTTTTAGTTCCTTCTATTTGTAATTCTTGTCTTCAAATTTATTCCCAAGAACATGCATCACATTTATATTTACTAAAACAAGGAAAAGAGGCAGGAAGAGAGGAAGGAAGGAAAAAGAAAGAAAGAAAGGAAGAAAAAAAGGAAAGGAGAAAAAGAAAAAGGGAGGGCAGTAAGGAGGGAGGGAGGGAAGAGAGTGAAAGAAATCCTTCTCTTTAATTTTTTTTCCCTATGGATTTCTCAGTAGTGCAAACACATTGTACTTGGCCTTCACTAAGCCCTGCAGAAAACAGTTATCATGACCTATAGGCGACAAGAATGGAATCTATGCACCTGTGTTAAAACAGACTGGCTGCTTTGGCATGTGAAATTGTTTGGGCTTTCTTGCCTTTCACTTAAGGCATTAGTTTTTATTTGAATACTGAACAAGCAAATGGAATTTTCAAGAATGGAAAATTATTTGCAACAATTGTAAATTACATTTAATAACCAATGATTTTTTCCTATTCATAGCAAGATTATTTTCAGTTTTTTTTCTTCTGTTTTGAGTTATAAAAAAATTAGCTTCTGGATAGCATTCATGTACACTTCATATAACTCAATGTGTTCTTATAATGTGTCCAATTATCCAGTAGGATTCCTCTGTAAATAATAGAAAAGAATGTGGAGAGAAAATATGTTATTCTGTATTTCATATAGAAAAGTATATCTCTTTCATTAAATTGTGATTTCATTCTCCCCCCTCAAAAAAAAAAATCACTGCAAATTTTTTCCATGATAT